AAATATATACAATCTCCTCCTCACTCTCTTGCACAACCCGGGCACTGTTCCGATCACCGGATACTAACTTGACCGTCGGAGTGTATGTGACCGCCACCACCCCCGCTAGTTCCAGCCGTGTGCGTCTGACCGTGTGTTGATTGTCCGCAGGGAGGATCGCGTGGAGTAGCTATCGGTTGGCCACATGAGATGTCCAATTCGGAAGAGTCAACAGATTGGCGCCGTCTGCGGAAAGCTTCCCGTCCAAAGTTCCGGAGAAGCCATCGAAAAGCCATTGACTTACCCTGAAAAGGGCACGTTCTTGAAAAATAATAAAGTCGAATTACAATCCAAAATCTCATCACCCTTGAAAAAGGAATAGATAAGATGAGTTCCAGTAATGAGGACGCAAACCCCAGGATAGATGCCTCTGAAGAATATGTGCTCCGAAACAATGTCACTCACCAAAGACCCCATCACCAGCATCGCCGAGGTGAAAGAACGGTTATGTTCACTGAAGGAATGACTCAAATAGCTGCGGGCATTAGAGATATCGTAGCTCAGAATATGGCGATGCATGAATTCTTCATGTAAACCCGAGGTCATCAGGGCTCCCAAATGCTCCAAGGATCTTACCCAGCCCATGAAGTCCCTGCATCTCGTTTCCGAGGCCATATGAGCTAGCACAGAGAACGTCCCCTCGTTCCCGAGGCCATATGAGCCAGTCACATCCTATGTGCAAGGAAGCCAACCAGCAAACCGCAATTGGGGGATAACTTCCCACCAGAATATGAAGCACAAAGGTTAGTCAGTGTCTTTGACTGAATAGGGCAGGACCCTAGTAATAGGGTTCGCTCAGTGCAAAAATCAGTTTGGCAAGAGCAAGAGCAAGACCAAGCGCCCCTCCCACCTAGAAATAGGAAGGAGAGAATAAACTTAGTTGATTGGGGTAGTCAAAGAGGAGCACCTCCACCCCTCCAGAATATGCAAGATGGTGAGGGATCCGAAGGGCCATGTCGATCTTATGAAATTGATGATGATAACGATAACCTCCTTTTCTCAAGAGAAATCCGAAGCTTCTCAATGCCTGCGAATTTCATGCCCCCGAAAATCCCCAAGTATGAAGGAAATGGGGACCCGAAAAAGCACCTCACCAAGTACATGACACAGATGAGCCTCAGAGGAGCCTCGTCTGCTTAGAAATGCAGAGCCTTCCTGGCCGGAGCCGTCGAAGTGTGGTACAATAGACTGCCTCCCCTAAGCATTAAGAGTTGTCCAGATCTGAAAAATGCATTCTTGAACCAGTACCTCTCACGTAGAGAAGGAGAGGTCCCAGTACAACGCCTATAAAATATGAGACAAGCCCCTGGAGAAACGCTGAAAACCTACCTCGCCAGCTTTACGGGCGAAATCACATACTGCAAACATGTCACTGACAGCGAAGCCCTTTCAGCCTTGAAAGGCGGTCTCGATATGAACACTTTGTTCTAAAGGGATGTACACAGCAAGAATCCTACCCTTTATGACGAACTGGTAGAAATGATGGAGAGTTGAAATCGTCAGTGAAAAGATGATTGACCATCAAAATCGTGCTGCGCAGGGACTCCCTCCGCCTCAGAGATAGGTAGGTCGAGGACCCGCAGCGCACCTTGTCACCCCGCAATGGGCAGGGTATACAATAGCTCTCACATCCGGACAGGCACTAGCTTCTGCCACGCTAAATGTAGTGCCGGTATTGATATACAAGAATGCCTCTGTTGAGGCGAGACCATTTTGGGGTACTGACAGTAATCGAAAGAAGAAGAAGAAGCGATCAGACAGGCCCTTAGAAGGGACAAGGTTCTGCACCTTCTACCAACTCTATGGACACGACACCAACGAATGCAGAGACGCTCCTCGACGCTCGGATTGAAATAACCCACATTTCTTCAGGAGGGACGGACATCCTCACAGATTCACCTCCCCGAACACGGGAGAGAGAAGGCATAGAGACCAGTCACCCCGGATAAGAGAATCGAGGGACAGAGGAGAGTCCAGACAGAGAGATCAATCCCCCTTCTCTAGAGGCCAAATCATCGGGAAAATCGACACGATCATTGGGAAACCTCATATCGGTGGCAACACTAGGAATGCCCAAAGGAAGTACACAAGGGAAGCAAAGGATCCACCAATGCTCACTTACATCGTCAACCAATCCCAAGAAGCCAACAGGATGCCTCCGATTACCTTCTCCCAAGAAGATGCACAAGGAGTTCACCACCCCCATTATGTCGCGTTGGTAGTAAGAGCCGTAGTGGCAAGAAACGGACTCAAGCGCATGCTCGTCGACAATGGTAGCTCGATGAATATACTGTTCAAATCTACCTTCGACAAAATGCAAATTGAACGTAGGTTAATCCCCATGACCGACCAACTATTTGAATTTACTAGAGACAGCATCGTCCCATGAGGACAAATTACCTTGCTCGTCGAGATGGGTTCAACTCCCTTAGTGACCTAACATTTCATGAAATTCTTGGTAGTAGACCACAGATTAGCCTACCACGGAATATTGGGCAAACTCGCCTTGAAAGATCTTTGGGCTGTCACCTCCATCCATTACATGTGTATGAAGTTCCCAACTGAGCATGGAATTGCTACGGTCCAAGACGACTAGATGGGCTCAAGAACATGTTACCTAAACTCTCTATAGAAATTAGAGCCTCGCACTATTAACGTGATCATAATAGAGGTCGCAGACAAAGCCGACTTGGACGTGAAAATCCTCGACGCCCCTAAACAAGGGCATACCTCCGAACAGGAGGAAGACATCGACATGGAAGAGGCTCCTGAAGGGTACCCTCTTGATGAGTTAGACCCTCGAATAACTGACTCAAAATCGAATGCGACCCTAATGAAAGAACTTGAAACTTTCTCCGTCAACCCAGAGGACCCTAGTCAGGTCTTGGGAATTGGAAAGACACTGTCCCCCGAAGCGAAAGAAGAAATGACAAGCTTCCTGAAAAGGAACTTGGATCTCTTCGCTTGGAAGCATGAAGACATGGTGGGAATAGACCCAAGGATAATTTGCCATCACCTTAACAACAACTCCTCATGTGCCCTACATCGGTAGAAAAGATGAGCCCTCTACCCGAAGCGATATGAGGCGCTCAAAGACGAAGTCAACAAGCTTAGTCGCAGCGGCTTCATCAGAGAAGCCATCTATCCGAAGTAGATATCCAACCCGGTCCTTGTGAAGAAGCCTAGCGGGAAATGGAGTGTGTGCGTAGATTTCACAAACTTGAACAAAACATGCCCTAAAGATAGCTTTCCACTGCCAAGGATAGACCAACTTGTGGATTCCACTACTGGACATGAACTCTTGAGTTTCATGGATGCATACTTAGGGTACAACCAAATACCCATGTTCCGACTTGATGAGGAGGCCACATCGTTCATCACAGACAGAGGACTGTGCTACTACAAAGTCATACCCTTCGAATTGAAAAATGTCGGATCTATATATCAGAGGCTGGTCAATGTTCGCGAAATTATTTCTTTCGATTTTAAACCACCACAAGTGTACGGTTCGTTAACAAGTAATAAAGTGGATTCAGTGAGTCCGAATATCATCCCACAAAGATTGATTAGTTCAAATTTTACCTACCTTAGCTTTAACTGAAACTAAATTACCTAAGTGGATGTAGACCTAATTGAACCTCAATTATGTAAATTTTTTATGATTAAATTGAAATTAATATGCAAAACAATAAATGAAAAACAATAATTTAAAACTCTATAATGAAATCTAAAAGTTGAGAACGCACTTGTTATAATTATTAAGAATGAAATACGCTAGGATCACGAATTCCCATGCAATTATCACTTTAAACCCTAGTTTCACAATATGACAACACATTTCAAATTTGATGAATCAATATTCCTAAGTCTATCCAATACTCTCTCTCGAGATGTATCAAACCTATCTCTACATACCACCGGTCTATATTTCTATGACAAGAGCATATGTAAAAATGCATACGATTTTATGAACATTTAAAGATTCAAGTAGGGCATAGCGGTATATTTCTATCCACTATCGGACCCTACGATGATTTATATTATGTCAAATCTATTCCAATTCTCTCGAATGCAAGAATAAATCACTTAAATTCACACAATTATGAGCCATTAGTTACGAAAACATTAATAGCATATAAATCATTCAACATAATAAAAATTGTGTCTTAACATCAAATTGCAAAACTAGAATATTAAAATTCAAATCACATGGTTCATCGATCTCCTAGCATAATAAAAATCTAGCCTAGCATGATTAAAATAACAAAATACATCACAGGTTTATAAAACTTGAATAAATCTTGAAGTTCTTCGTGTCAATCTTTGTTCTTGCTCTCAAATCATCTCCAAGAGTTGTTTTTCAGCCTCCAATTACGTTCTGGGCGTCTCTGGAATGTTTTTGATATTTATATCCCGTGGAAAATTAGGTTACCATAGGTGTTTCAATCGTATAAGGAAAGAAAAAATTCGTGCTGGAAATGTACCATGCGATCGCATGATTTTAATCCGTGCGGCCGCATGGTTATTCTATTTTTCCACTTGAATTCCCTACATCACTTCGTACGGTCACACGACATTTCTACCATGCGACCGCATGGTAGAATTAATCTTTCATTTCCTGCAAATTGGTCCTTTTACTTGAATCTTTCACTTCTTTGCATCTTTTCTTCATTCTTCACATTCCATCATCCCAAAATGTCATCAATTTGTATTTGGCAAACTCAATTTTTTGATTTGTTCATCGGGTCAACTTTTGGGTAATTGTACCTTGCTCCTTGAACTTTCACTTTGTGTCATTTTAGTCATTTTTCGCGTCTTTTCTCATATATTTCACCATGTTCATCAGTGTTACCTACAATTTACAAATGTAATGAAATTAAGTCACAATTCAATCATCTTATTCGTAATTAAGTCATGTTTGTGACTTAAATAAGTGTGCAAAAACACACTTATCAGTCAACATGGTGTTTGACGAACTCATTGGCAAAACCATGGAAGTCTACATAGACGACATGCTAGTTAAAAGCCTCCAAGCGAACAAACAAGCAAGTTACCTCGACCAGACCTTTCAGATTCTTAGAAAATATAAAATGAAGTTGAACATTCTCAAAAGCACCTTCGGCATGGCTTCGGGTCAGTTTTTGGGATACATTGTGAACCAAAGGGAAATCGAAGCGAATCCGGTAAAGATTAGGGCCTTACTGGAAATGAGGTCACCTCAGAAGCCAAAGGAGGTCCAGAGCCTCAATGGTCGGATAGTCGCTCTCAGTCGCTTCATCTCCAGGGCCACTGATAAGTGTCTACCATTCTTCAAAGTGTTGAAGCAAGGAAAGAAGTTCCAATGGATCGGTGAGTGCGAGGAAGCCTTCCAAACGCTGAAGAAGCACTTAGGAGAGGCGCATATGTTATCCAAACCTAAACTACAAGAATCACTACTGTCGTACTTGGCGATCTCGGACGAGGCGGTCGGCGCAGACCTAGTCAAAGAAGAAAATGAGCACCAATTACGGGTATACTATGTTAGCAAAGCATTACTCCCAGCAGAAACACGCTACCCAGACATGGTGAAACTGGCGCTCGCTCTTATCACGGCATCAAGGAAACTGAGGTCGTACTTCCAGGCCCATTCAATTGAAGTTCTCACCAACTTCCCATTAAAGCAGGTGCTGCAGAGAACGGAGGCTTCGGGCCACTTGCTAAAATGGGCAATCGAGCTCAGTGAGTTCGACCTACTGTTTCGACCCTGACTTGCCATCAAGGGCCAAGCCCTTCTAGATTTTGTGGCTGAATTTGCTAAAGCCCCAAAAATGGAGGCGACAATGGAACCAGTCGAGCCCCCAACATGGAACCTGTTCGTGGATGGATCTTCAGGAGAAACTGGCTTCGGAGCAGGGATCGTCTTGGAAAGCCCAGGAGGCCACAAGCTAAATTGCGCAGTAAAGTTCGACTTCAAAGCCTCGAACAAAGCTGCCGACTATGAGGCCCTTCTAGCAGGCCTTAGACTTGCGAAAGAAATGCAGTTCAGAAGGTTTCATTGCAAGCACGACTCTCAACTTGTGATGAGTCAGGTCAACGGGAACTTTGCGGCCAAAGACAGTAGCATGGCTACATATTTAAAATTGGTTTTGGACCTAGTTCCTCATTTTGAAAAGTTCGAACTGATCCAAGTCCCACACCTCAAGAATACTCACGCAGATGCCCTGTCAAAGTTGGCCAGCAGCAAAGATTCAGAGCTACTAAAGATTGTCCCCATTGAACACTTGTCGAAGCCCTCCGTCTCCGGAGGTGAAGAGTTGTTATGGATAAAAAGTACCCCATTATGGATACAACCCATCATGGCCTGTCTTAGGGATCAATCACTACCAGCTTCGAGAAGCGAGACGATGAAGTTAAGAATAAGGGTTGCACACTTCGTCCTACAAGAGGATGTCCTCTATAAAAGAGGCTTTGCCTTACCACTTCTCCGATGTGTAGGAGGGGAAGAAGCTACGTCTATACTCAGGGAGATCCATGAGGAGATCTGCGAAAATCAATCTGGAGGAATGGCTCTGGCACACAAAGTACTTCGACGAGGCTACTTCTGGCCGACCCTGAAAATGGATGCTTGTCGGTTCGTTCAGAAATGTGACAAGTGCCAGCGCTTCTCAAATTTTCAAAGACAGCCTTCTCAGAGCCTCTCCGTAGTCACCAGTCCATGGCCATTCACCAAGTGGGGCATCAACTTCATTGATCCGCTCCCAAAAGGAAGAGGAAGCGCGACTTTTGCCATTGTCGCCATTGACTACTTGACCAAGTGGGTCGAGGCTGAACCTCTTGCCAAGATCATCGAGACGAATACTATAAAATTCATCTAGAAAAACATCATTTACAGGTTTGGTATTCCCCACTCCTTAGTGTCTAACAACGGGAGACAGTTCAACAACAAGAAGATGCGAGACTTATGTGACGAACTGGGGATAAAGAAGGATTTCTCAACACCTCATCACCCCCAAGCAAATGGACAAGTTGAGGCAGTAAACGAAACCATCAAGGATACCTTGAAAATGAAGCTTGACACCTCGAAGGGGGCTTGGGTTGATGAGCTTCCCCACGTCCTCTGGGCCATCCGCACAACTAGCCGAATCGCGACGGGGTAGACACTCTTCTCAATGACCTATGGAGCTGAAGCTATGAGCCCGGTCGAGGTAGAAGTCCCATTGCATCGTCGGATACACTTCAATAAGATCAGAAACGACGAAGCTTGAATGTGTGAACTCCACTTTCTTGAAGAAATGAGGGATGCCTCCCAAGTGAAACTAGCTAAGTATCAAAGAAAGATGACCTGCTATTACAACTCCAAGGTCAGAAATTGAACTTTTAGGCTGGGAGACCTTGTCCTTAGAAGGGTCTTCCAATCATCCAAGCCAATTGGGTCCGAAGTGTTTGGACCGAACTAGGAATGTCCTTATCGCATCCGTAAAGAGTCCTGACCTGGCACTTTTGAAATTGAAGACATAACAGAGAGAGTACTGCCTCATCAATGGAACGTCGAACACTTGAGGAAGTACTATCAATGATGAACATATATTCCGATCCGATCTCCATGTTGTCTAATAAGTGTTTGTCATGATGCGATCTCATTTGTAACTTTCCTATCTTACTAAGTGCTGAAATTGCCTTAGTGAAGGATGATGTAACTTCTAAGTAATGATACTTCAATTCTTTGTGTCACATCAGTTAATGAATTGTTACCTCAGTTCTTCAATATCTTATTAGGCCGATCTTCTTTTATCAACTGGTTGTTGGTAAGTGGTGCTTAATATTTACTTAAGTGCTTATAATTCATTGACTCAAGTATAGACAGTTCAACACAAGGAAAAGGAAGAAGCACTAATACTTGAAAGAAAAATTTTCATTCCATGCATTTCAAACTGAGTTACAAAAGGAAGGCCAAAGCCATTACAAAAGTAGCCCTATTCTACTAGGGCGACGTTTTTCACCCTAACCTTCGAGTCAACTTTCTCTAGGGCCTCTGGAGCTTCCTCGGCAGCCCTATCAGGCCGGCCTCTAGTAGGCCCACCGAACTCTGCCTCCAAAGAGGATATGTCCAAAGTCGGGTAGACCTCATTCAGCTGACCCAACAGACCTTGGGCACTCCAAGAGACCCAGTAGTTGGCGAAGTCATCGTACAGGGGGTGCTCCTTGAAATGATCAATGAAGTTCTGCACAGCCACTTCCCTTGCCGACTTCAGCTCCCCCTTCGGTGAAACAATCTCTTCAGCTTGGGCCTCCGTCCACTGCTTCAGCTTAGCCTTTTCCTCCAGAGGTGAAGTAGCTAGGCGGTGGTGCTCGTTAGCGTGATCAATTCGCCTCGTTAGAGCAGCCACCTGGCACTTAGTTTCATGCAGCTCCTTCTTTAGCCTATCAACATCAGCATTAGCCCTCGTCAGCTGGCCCTCAGCCTCCTACTTCATCGACTCCGCCTTAGAGGCCTTCTTCGGGCAGCCCGGACTTCATCTCCGTATTGCATCGCCTCCTCGAGGCGCTTGGCCAAGTCAATGTTTTTGGCCCTCAGATCTTTGATTAGACCCTCCAGCTGAACACTTGTGCTGAGGGCCCTAGCTATGCATGCACTATTGGCCATCAGGAGATCTTCGGCAGTGCACGAGGCAGTGTGGTCCTTCCTCTCCTCGGTCCAATACTTGTTATGGACTACTGCCACCTTGGCCGTCTCGGAAGGTAGAGCCTCCAGCACTTCTTTCACGAACTCCTCAGTTTTCACGCCCAAAAAGTCTACTTCCTTTGTAGGATGGGCCCTTTTTCTCCTCGACTGCCCCGACACTTGAGATATTGGAACGACTAAAAGTGGAGCTTCAGTCGGGGTAGCAAAGGTGGCATCGATAGCCATGGAGGGTTCAGAAACCTTCTCCCTGAGGGCCACCCCGGTTGGAATTGTTATCTGCCTCAAGGCTAGGGCTGGCCTCGCCACGGTGACCCCCTTTAAAGAGCCTGCGGCCTTCTTGCCCTTCCTCAGCAGATTCGCCTCAGGCTCTTCTTCGACCTCCTCATCCGTCGGAGGCTGAAGCCTCTTACTGGCATCAACCAGATCCTCCATCTGCTTCTTATAGGTAGATGAGGAGGTCTTCAAAGCTCTCGCCTCGGCCATCATATTCTGAATTGTCTTGAAATCAGGCCTCTTCTTGTTGAAGTTATCTGCAAGGAAACAAGCAAATTATTATAAGTATGGAAAGGTCGGAAAACCCACGCGACATGGCCACTTCGTAAATCTACCTTGGGAAGCCATTAGGTCGTGTGTTACAAAATGAATATTCTTCCTGATCAACTCGTGGTATGACCTCTTCTTCGAAGGTAGCTGGTAGACGATGCAGATTGTGTCAAAGTCATCGGTGGATATCTCACACTGAGGAAGGGTACCTTCAAAAAAGCAAGAAAAGAGTAGTTACGATCCGAATCGAAGAAGAATAAACAAAAATGCAAAGCAATAGTACTCACTAAGTGTGGAATACTTCGTGGGGATTGTAAGAGGCGTCAGGGGTCTCCCTCCATTGTATCCCATCTTCTGGCAGCCCAGCATCACGAACTCTTCCATTCTTTAATGGAGCTCGGCAGATCGAGCACGAATGGAGTATGGGAACCTCATGAAGTCAGATAATGCCACCCCCTAGTCTTGCCCCCCCAGCTGTTACCTTAGGGATGTATAGGGTCTGAAAAACTGAGAAGAACATCTCCACCCCGAGCGATGCCTCCTTCCATAACATCCAGGACCCCACCATTTGGTTCCAGAAGTTTGAGTTCGACTGGCTCGGGGCTAACCTATACGACCTCAGCACTAGCCTGAAGAAGGGATGGAGGGGGAGCCTAAGTCCAGCCCTAAAAGTGCCTCACTCATGGCCACACACCCCGGCCTAAGATAATAGGCCCTCTCATCAAGCTCTGGTAATATCAGTTTACACTATCAGATATCCTATATTCAGCCCTAAGTCTACCCAGATCGACCTCCTTCAATTTCGACGGGTAATCTAAAGCCCCCCAGTGTTCTGATGTATCTACCGGGCTGTCAGGCCTTCTCCAAAATTTTACCCCCTCATCGCCAAAATAGGCTCATCCATCCTCACCACCTCTAAATCCCTTTCTGAAGCCCCACTACCATCCGAAACCATTGCAGAATATAGAAATGTGAAAAAAATTAGGAAAATACTTACTGAAACTCAAGAAATTGAGGGACCTACGGCCGGAAAAGATCAACACCCAATGTGATATCGTCGAAAACTGGAAATGTCGTCGAAAAACGCTTGTACAACGTCGAAAACGCAAGAATTTTGAGAGGAAATGGATTTTCTAATTTGCAAAAGACCAAAATGCTCAAGTCCGCCTTTTATAAAGCGTCCCGACTGATCTCCACCGTTGAATTCAAATGCAATCAATCTAGGCCGTCCATCGCATCATAAATCTGAGTCGTTGATATGAAATGCCAGATTTGATCTACGCTCAAGATCAAGCTGTGATTCTCACGCTCGTATAAAATGCGTCCCCTCGATCACCATCAGCCGTCTACAATAAGTAGCCGCAGTAACCTTTTCTGGGAATGGACATCGCACCCAACTATCGCCTGAAAAATACGCGACAGCTGTCAAATCATTTGATGTCAGAAATGTTCGCCTCAGATCGAAATCCGTAGCTTTACAAAGCTTAGACGCACCTGGCACGAAGTTCCCTGTGGGTTATCGCCTCGGTAGCTGCATTCCCTCCTAAGCTTTACAAAGTTTTAGCCATCTCCCAACGCGTCGTCCCCTGTGGGTCAGCGCACCTATGGCAGATGAGCTCTTCACTCAGCGTTACAAAGCTTAAACGCACCTGACGCGGAGTCCCCTGTGGGTCATCGCCTTGGTAGCTGTGTTCCTCCTAAGCTTTACAAAGTTTAGTCATTTCCCACATCCGTCGCAGATGAGCTCCTCACTTAGCTGTACAAAGCTTAGATGTACCTGACGCAAAGTTCCCTGTGGATCATCGTCTCGGTAGCTGCGTTTCCTCCTATACTTTACAAAGTTTTAGCCATCTCCCAACGCGTCGTCCCATGTGGGTCAGCGCACTGGTGGCAGATGAGCTCTCCTCTCAGCTTACAAAGCTTAGACGTTCCTGATGCGGAGTCCCCTGTGTGTCACCGCCTCAGTCGATGCATTCTCTCCTAAGCTTACAAAGTTTTAACCGTCTCCCAACGCATCGTCCCTTTGGGTCCGCGTATCGGTGGTGGATGAGCTTTCCTTAGGCAGCACCGACACTTTAGCGCCTCAGTCGAAGACGTGTCCCGACCTTCAGTTTCACAAGCTTCAGCATCTCCCACGCGTCGTCTCTGTAGGTCAGCGCCTCAGCCAGATATGTATCCCAATCCTAAGCTTCACAAGGCTTTGGCCTTTTCCTAACCCCATCTCTTCAGTGAACACAAAAAACCGATCCACATGCTTTCAGCCCATCTACACACTTTGCCCTTCCACGCCAGTTCTCTATCACAAACCAAGGCAGTCATACTCGATCGGGAAAACAAGTCCACCCATGATATAAATATTCATGCCTGAACTTGGGAGGACCACTATTATGCCCCCATCTAAACCACTTCGAAAAGTCTACCACTGCATCATACGAGGTGTCTACCACCAATACGAAGTGGTTCCGAAGTGACTCCACCACCAATGTCCGCACGCTGCTAACGTGCTGGGTGGTACAAAATAATTCTACTGAACCGACCGAAGTGTCCTTGACGCCGAAGTGCAATGCACTCCGAGGTTCTCCTTCAGCGGATCCGCCGCCACTTTCAGAAAGAGATCTGTGTCAAGATCCTCTCTGCCCCCAAGGCTTAATTGATTTGACGTCTCCAAGGGTCTAGTTGATGTCACCTATCAACTTTATGTCAACTCAACTCAGGAGAAGTTATTACCCGCCCACTCTATAGATGCGGCTGATTGACGCCTATGAGCAGACGCTTCACACCGTCAGATGCATACACATGTCCCACATCCAACGGTTCTCCTCACCTATAAATACCCAAGATTTGACAAAAGGAAAAGGTAATGAAACTCTTACAACTTACATAACAAGAAAATATATATAATCTCCTCTCCACTCTCTTGCACAACCCAGG